ACTGTAAATGAACGTAAACGAAAAAATACATTCTGAAATCTATTTCATGGGATGACGCAGCATAGAACTCTAAAGAAAAGTCGGTCGGAAGACCTACTTGTTGCCCTAGCAATAAGAACGTATCTAGTTATTATTATTATTATTATTATTCTTACCGATTTTGTGCACGCGATTTCTCGTAAACTACTGAACCGATTCTCATGAAACTTTCACATCTGATAGGTACTGATCTGAACCTTATTGGAAATTTTTTTCGTTAATGACGTCACTTCCGGTCGTGATATATGGACGATTTTCTGATTTTAAAATGCAATTTTGTCTTGATTACTTAGGGAAAACTGCTTAAGATATGAACTAAAGATTAATTGGAGATGATAGTTCATGATTTATAGCGTTGCAGAATCGCCTTTTCGTGCGACGTCAGTACTTCCGGTCGAAACCGGAAGCGAATTTAAAAAACGTAATTTTTCAACTTTTGTTTTTTAATATTTTTGTTTTAGATTTGAATAGAGACCCTTTTGCAGAAGCCAAATATGTAATTTGTTTGAAAATCAAAAAAGCCAATCTCGAGATATTTGCATTTGAAAACGCGAAGCGGCGATTCCAATGGCCAAAGGTTAGCGCGTTGGATTTTCACGCGGGCGACCCGGGTTCGATCCCCCGTATGTCCAAAAAATTTTATCACTTTTTCTGCTTGATTTTCGATTTTTATTACTTTTAGACCATTTGCAACAACATATTTTTAACTTTTAAGTATATCTTACGTAATAAGGGGTCACAAGGGGCCAGAATGTCAGATCTTTGTCGCTTTATATCTCGAAAAGGGGGAATATTTTGATAAGCAATATTGAACAAAAGATAGTCAGAATAATATTCTAAACAATATGCATACTTTGACTTTTTGTAAAATGGCCCCGTTAAGGACTTCTAGGGGTGGCCCCTTAATATTTCCATTCAGTATATCTCCACAACGAAAAGAAATCTCTGAATACGTGTTGAACAAAAAATCTTCAAAATCACAAGACCTTTCATTTGATATCAAGAAAAAGGGACTGACCCCTAAAATTAGGGACTCAGAGGGGTCAAAAGTCTTTCATCTTTAACTATTAAATGATCAATATTTTGTGATACATTACTGAAGCAAAAGTATTTCTCATAACGATTTGCTACAATATCTGATACAATTTTGATCATATGTTACGTAATTAGGGGTCACAAGAGGCCAGAATGTCAAATCTCTTACGCTTTAAATCTCGAAAAGAGGGAATATTTTGATATGCAATACTGAAGAAAAGATGCTCAGAATATCGTGATAAAAAAGAGAAAATTAAAAATTAATGAAGGAAAACTTAAAGTCATTGTCTTTTAACGAACATCTCAGTCAAAATCACATCTCATCTTATCGAGAAATTCAACGGAAGACCTACTCGTTGCTCGCAACGAGATCTCATCTAGTTATTATGTTCCCCAAACGAAGTTGGGGAACATATTGTTTTTACTCTGTTTCTTATTATTAAGGTCTTCCGTCTTCACGGAAGACCTTATAGTGATTCTACTGTTTCTTATTATTAAGGTCTTCCGTCTTCACGGAAGACCTTATAGTGATTCTACTGTTTCTTATTATTATTAAGGTCTTCCGTCTTCACGGAAGACCTTAGAGTGATTCTATTGTTTCTTATTATTATTATTATTATTATTATTATTCTTTTTTTTTTAGACAAAATTTTGTGCAGGCGATTTCTCGTAAACTATTCAGTAGATTTCAATGAAAATTTCAGGAATAAAAGGTCACTATATGAATTTTATATAAAATTCCGTTTGTTGGAAAATTCGCTACCAGTGCCAAGTTATGGGCAATTTCCTGATTTTAAAATGCAATTTTGTCTTCGAATGTTCTCGAAAATGGCTCAAGATATTAACTGGAGACTTGTTAGAGATGATAGACCATGAGATATAGATGTGCAATTTTGCCTTCGTTTGTGTCGTCAGTACTTCCTGTCGCTACAGGAAGTGAATTCAAAATGTGCACTTTTTCAACTTTTTTTGTTTTTCAATATTTTTCTTTGGTATAATCATTGTGAATGGAGACCCTACTGGAAAGGCCAAATATATAATTTATTTTAGAATCGATCAATCCACACACTAGATATTCGCATTTAAAAATCTGAAGCGCGTCCAAGATGGCGGAGCGTCTCCGTAAACTCCGCCATTAAGCAAATCGGGTTCTAGAAGGTCAGCTGAGCGTTTAGATGAACGAAACTTCTACCAAAAAAATGTATGAAATGTAAAGGATTCTTTGGATTGCTACATCGCAATTACGTTACATTGAGTATAGTTTTAATATATGAGGTTTCCTCAAACATCTATTGAAATTGCTTTTGTCTGCATCTCAAAGTAGAATACAACATGACTACAAGTGGAAATACGATGACAACAATCTTTTGTTTTGCACCAGGGAAAACTTATCCTAAACCATGGTTATAAGTAATAGCTTTTCAAGAAACTTGCCTGACTTAATATTCACTGTTTCTGAAATATTACTTGACTTCTGTTTATTTTTCCACGCAGGCTTGTGACATCCCCTGCGAGGTGAAATTCATGATTTCAGGAACTTTTATGAATCGTTCATGAACATTCATGATGTGTTCATGACTGGTTCATGACTGGTTCATAAAGATGGTTCATGAACTTTATTCATGAATATATTCATAAAATGTAGTTCATGAACAAATGATGAATATATATGAATATTGGTTATTTTCATTTTAAAGACAGAAAAAAGGTAGAGTTCAAGGTATTATGAATGTTCATGAATTTTCATGAAGACTAAAATAATTGACAAAAATGATTGACAGAAAACACTCAATACTCTCATAATACAACTTTTGCATGCAGATGCAATTGTTGAACAAGCCCCTGGTATAATATATGTTTAATAATAATTCTTTCACCATCTGAAAAAATAAATCATGAAATCTCTAAACATTTAATGTTTTTATTTGATTTTAATTACACTGCATCACAATTGACAGCATTTTTTTCAAATGCATTACTTGTGTTTCTTCATAATTTGAATTAAACAGTTATATTCATCATAATGTGCTTTAATTAATATCGTTTTTCATCACAAAACTTTGTTCGACCGAATTTTCTCTAACATCAAACTTTAAACAAGTTGTTGGAAAATGAAACATTCTGGAAAATGAACTTTGTGAGCTTCGTAAAAAAAACGTTATGTATATTTATTAACAACTTAATAATTATATCACTTGTCTGTACTGTACCGTATTATTCCTGGATCGAAACGCTACATACATTTCAATTTTGGTGCAGTTAATTGCTTCGTGCGTAAATGATAGAGCACAGACTGCATGGTTGTACAGTATCTATGATTCACATTCGTATTTTGTAGTTTTAATTCTCCTATGCGTCTTCACAGCTCAGAATATTCTGTCTGAGGTCGAGAGATTGTTATTATCATGTCATAGGGGGCCGCCATACTTGCTATACGAAACTAAAAGTCAATACATGTGTAACCGGAAGTAGAACTCTTCAGTGTATAAATTACCAAAGTTACTAGCCAACTTGGCTGAAAGGAGTAAACTATCTCCAGTTATAAATGATCAACCCAGGTAAGGGGATTTCTGAACTATGGTCAACGCTAAATGAAAACACAGTTGTAAGTTTTATCAATTTAATAAAGTGAGAATTAACCGTTGTAAATGATAACAAATAATAAATAATGATCAAAATTTAACAAACAGAAAAGTCTTTGAAAATGGCACAGGATAAATAAAGCTTTATCAAAAATGTAATTTAATCTGAAAAATGAATCTCAATAATCTCAATGAATAATCTCAATAAATAAATAATTAAAAAATGTAAAGAAAAATGGGAGGAATGTGGCAAAACTATGAAAAATAATCTATGTCCCTACTGAGCTGCCATACTTATCAAAAAGGTGAAAAATCCTAAAGAGATAAAAAAAAATGTAAAGGGAATGAGCTACATCACCCAATATGACTTCTATCAACACTCTAGAGTTAATCTGAAAATATCAATACTAATTCTAGGTTCTAAAAATAACTGACCCAGAAAATAAACAAGACCCAAAAATAAATAATAAATAGTGGTTCTAGAAAATAAACCTGTTATCTACATATCCCTAGACCAGGCAGGACTTGGAAAGGGAAACTAAATTTACTTTAAATACCCTACATCCTAACTGTTTCCTAACATGTGAAAAACGTGAAACTAAATCTAAGCCAAAACCTAGAGAACTGTTAAACCATAAGGTTTTCTTAGTCCACTAAGTATCTAATCAAATAGTGCTCATAAACCATAAGGTTTTCTTAGCACAGAAAAGAGGAACTAACCATGAGGCTGTGTTCCCCAACCCAAGTGAAGAAAACTACACGAACACGGGTTTAAATACCCTGACAAGGCCCAAAATAAAAGCCAATGACTATCAAAGATCCTAAAGCTAAATTAACCAATCAGAACGCAGGTATCAAAAGTACTACGGAAAGACTGCCAACATGGATGACACTTCCTGTTTAAAAAGTAAAACATGTGGAATGTCAACTCATGTCCTAACTTATAAAAGACAAATAATAAAGGACTTTTACGTAAGTAACAACTGAAAACAAATGGTAAATAGAATTATCAGACTGAAATACCAGCAAATACTTGTAAGATAAGAATTACGAAACGATGGCTATGAAATAAAAATCTAAACCACTACACATGGTTAATTTATGAGGTAAAAAAATCGAATTCTTCATTGATAAAACTTATTTTGATATAAAATATTGTATTTTCAGTGAAAAGTTATTCAGATAGTGTTTGTAATTTTTTTTAAACAGAAATCTTGGAAATTCGAAACTATGGTATTTCTTAGCTCTACCGTACATTTTTGAATAGGCGCAAACTTGAAAACGCGCGAGACGTTAGAAGTGGGAATTTGTAGTGTGGAAGAATCAGTATTTGTTGACTGTGATCTATTATTTGCATAGTTACTGTGCCGTTTTCGTATTGCATAATTTTATTTCGATCGGGTTCAATATTCTGTTTATACTAATTATGGTAGCCATGCGGTTTGCCTGGCGTTTTGGCTGTGAAGTTTGGTGATGTTGGCCTCCCTAAGGAGTAAGTTTTATATTGTTTTACTTGAATTTATATCTAACTTGATCATCTGTATCTAACAGTATTATGCAATATCTTTTATCATGTTTAGATTCTGCAACTACAATGTTTTGTAAAACCGCGCATTTCCAGCATGCGATGGGCATAGGCCTGTTTAGCTCACATTTTAAAGTTACGCATTTAATTTTTTTGGTATGATTGCTTATGATTTTGATATTTTGTCAAATTCTTATTATGCTTTTGTAATTTGTAGTTTTTTCACCCTCTCACAAGGTGTGTCCAATAAACAGTACAGTCACTGATCTTTGTCAACTTTTAAAGAAAATAACAGAATATGAAGAAGGAAGACTATATATAGGATCGATCTACTTCATAACTGGTGAGTGACAAAAAATGGAGACAATAACTGAGTCAGAAATCTGTCTGTAAATGTTACTTTCTATTTGTAAAAAAACAAATTAAAGCACATTATAATAAATTAATATGTCTCTTTTTTAATGCAATTTTTGTCTAACTTTGCTTTTAGTTTGGATCCAACCATATAACATACATTAATTATAGACTGAGACTCAAAACTCTCATAGGCCTGATTGATCTACAAAATGGCGATCCAAGAAAATAGGCTTAAATTCCACTCAGAATTTTTAAATTTGGAAGTGTCTCTGATGCAAAATTAAATGAATCTAAAATGCAAGAAAATACAAAAAAGTCTTATGTTTTACAATCATGGGTACTTTCAGAAAATCTTTCTTTTTGAAGGAAAAAGAGAAGCAGTTCACAAAATGTTGATGAGCAGAAGAAAAGAAACTCTGGCTGCACAAAAATCTGAGCTCTTGAAAAAGAAACAAAAAAAAAAGAAATGAAAATATGAATGATATTCAATCAAAGGATCCAAATGATGAAATTCTGGAAATTCCACATGGAGAGACAATAAGGATTTTTGAATTGACCATCTCTGCTCGAACTGCTTGAAAGCACTGAAAACTGTTTCCCTGGTGCTGAACAAACTTTTCTCCTAGACTGGAATTAAAAACTGTTCAATTTCTGGCATTAAAACACAATTTGAAACATGCTGAGGAAGGATCCCCCTCTCCTTTTGACCAAGTAAGGTTAAACATTCTGCAAAGAGTTGCATTTGAATTGAATTTTTTTTATACTTTTACCAGGAATGAACTACATTACTCATTTTATACTATGGTTTAATGTGTCAGATTGTCTATTTTAATTTTTTTAACAAAGATTTTGTTGCCATGGTTGGAAAACAAACAACATTTCTGTAAAATCTTTCAAGATACTGTATTATAAATCATCTACTGTTACTTTTTTTAGCATGACTTCATGCATTTTCATGAATAAACATGAATAATAATATTTCATATTTTGTTTACGAATAAGCAAGAATATTCATGAATGCTAATGGTTCATGAATTTTATTCATTCATGAACATTCCTGAAAAAATTCATCAAATTATTCATGAATAGTTCATGAAGATCCTATGAACTTATTATTGGACATTCTTGAAATGATGAATCTTCATGAATATGACTCTTCATGAATTATTCATGAAAAAAAATATTCATGAATATTCATCAATTTTCTTTCATGAATAAAAATTCATGATTTGAAAATGTCCAATAATAAGTTCATAGGATCTTCATGAACATTTCATGAATTAAATTCATGAAAAATTCAAGGAAATTCATGAATTATTCATGATCGTCTCGCAGGGGATATTAAATGAATAGAAAAGACATAAGAAAAACATTTTTTTAAAGATTGTTTATTAAAGGTAATATGAATATTCATGTAATAAATGCAAGTTTTTTAACATAAATAGTATCAGATTCCTTGACCGTCGGAGGGCGAGTGAATTTTTTTCAGTGAAACATTCCAGTCCTTTCATGAACGTGTAACTCCACTTTGGGGCAAAACAGGATACATAATTCGTGGAAAATCTTACAGAATTCACAGCTTTGGTGTTACTTGGGCGTATACGATATTATATTTGTATAATATGTGATAAATATATTTTCTAATGCTCAATTTCCGGTTATAAGAACATACATTTCTAATTTTCATTGAAGCTATTGAAACGGTTTAGAGTTATTGCCCTTTTGCTACATTGCTTTAATCAATAAATAATTGTAAATAATGTAATTAACAGGTACAGTGGACCTTCAGATATCCGGACGCCAGATATCCGGATGCTTCAGTATCCGGACGCTTTTTCATCGCAACGAAATTTTAAAATGTTAACCTGTCTTGTTTGACTGGTGATTCGGATATCCGGATGCTTCACATATCCGGACAAATTGACTGGGAACCAAAGCGTCCGGATAAATGAGGGTCCACTGTATTTGATTGATTGATTTTACAAGAAAGGATGTTTTATAAATAAAAATACAACAAAAACATATCTTTGGTTAAGATGAGCAAAGTATGCTCGGAAATTTACGGAAACGTATTCCGGCACTTATAATCATTGACATAAAGATCATATTAGTAGGCAGATGGTCAGTGTTGTCGGTGTCGTACATTTGAAACTAAGTTGTTGGTAGAAGTTTGGTCAAGTGACAATTGTAAGTCAAACGGCTAATCATTACAACTGTGAAAGCAATTAGTGTAGCAGATATATAGTTAACATTGAACGTGTCGAGCCAGTTGACAGGTTCATACGAATTGGTATATAGATAATCAAGGGGTTAGGGTATTACCAAGTGGCATTTGTTTAGCCAAGTGGCAATTGGCGTTTGTATAGCTACAATGTAAGTTGCAATCGGCATTGGTATAGCCAAGTGGCAAGTGGCGTTCGTATAGCCAAGTGGAAGGGGTTTCTGTACATATTGTTAATCATACACTAGGCAAGTGTCCTTTATATTTGTATATATTGCTTCAACTTGATACTAGGCAAGTGTCGTCCATATTTGTATATATTGCATTTTGTCTGTATATTTTGCACTCTTACTTGTCTTTATAAGACTTGGGCATTCCAAGTACGATCTCAAGTAGATCGCTCGGGTCCCGCACGTTACACTATCAAATCCATCATATAGATCAAACATTTCAAAGGAATAGGGTTTAGAACTACTTGTGACGTTTGGCACGAAATAATGTATCGTGATCCGACTTAAGTAGTAGACAAATGGCAACAATAGTGCAGAAATATATAAAATTGGCATGTCTGTATATGGAGCTGCGTGGAATAAAAAGTTGAATGCATTTCGAAAAAAGGAAAGAAAACAGTATCATCTGTTCATCACTAATAGAATATTTATTCTAAAAATTACTGTTAAAACTCAAGTAACAAAGTCCGATGTGATCATCTTGAGCAAAGTTTAGCAAGCTAGCTCTCATTTTAAAATAAATGTAAAGTATGTTAGAATCAAAAAAAGCAATCTCGCGATATTCGAATCTTAAATTTGAAGCGGGTTCCCAAAGGTGTATTGGGTACCGCAATGGATTTTCACGCTGACGACACGGGTTTGATCCCCCGTGTTTCCGATTTTTAAAATCACTTTTCAGTTTGATTTTACGTTTTTTTTCTGAATCGGACGGAAGACCTCTCGTTGCTCGCAACGAGTTTTTTTTCTAGTTAAGGTCTTCCGTCTTCACGGAAGACCTTATAGTGATTCTATTGTTTCTTATTATTATTATTATTCTTTTTTTTGACAAAATTTTGTGCAGGCGATTTCTCGAAAACTATTCAGCGGTTTTTCATTAAACTTTCACCAAATATGTGTCATTATATGAAGTTGTTACATCCGAAGAGAAATTTGGAAAATTCTCTTCTGGTGCCAAGTTATGGACAATTTTCTGATTTTAAAATGCGATTTTGTCGCCCCTTTTTTTCGAAAATGGCTAGGTATATGATATGGAGACTTATTGGAGATGATAGATCATGACTTTCTGGTTTGCATAATCACCTTTTCGTGCGTCGTCAGTACTTCCGGTCGTTACGAGATGCAAATTAAAAATAATCATATTTTCTAACTTTTTTGTTTTTCAATATTTTTCATTTATTTTTGGTGTGTTAATAGAAACCCTCCTCATAATGCTTACTATATAATTTGTTTGAATGTTGATAAATCTAAACTCTAGATATTAGCATTCAAAAATCTGAAGCGGGTCCAAAATGGCGGCTGTCTCAATCAACGCCGACATTTCGCAATAGCGATTTACGGAGGCAGCCGAGCGTTTGCTTGAACGAAATTAACATAAGGATAAATGACAT